CCAACTTCCCAATCCTCTGTCTTTTTTTTGAAAGAGCTTGCAGAGTATGAATCTTGATAGACTTGACCCCGCCTCTTGCTACTCTAGTGGAGGGAGTTAGTGTTCCCTTTCCCAGCCTGCTTAGCAGCTGGGGCAGAGACCCAGGTGTGATCATGCTGACACAGGGAACCTGCCAGGAGGGATGAAGTAGAGTTTCTGGGGACGGTGAGAGATCCTTCCTGGAGGCTGTGCTTCTAGGGAGTGTTCAGCTGCAAAAGTGTCCTAGCTGGGCTGTTCCCTAGATATAGCTGTGTTCTTAGGGTTTAATCTTTTGGTTCCTGCCCATTTGCTGACCTTGTCTGCCAAACCATCCTGTTGACTTTAAGAATGCTGGTAGCTGTCCGGTGGATAGGTTGTTTACTTGCCAGGCTCATTCAGTTTCTATTGTTTTGAAGAACTCCAGCTGCTGCTTAGTGCAATATGTCAGTTACCTGTCCTCCCCACTTCTCTGTTAAATCATGGAGTGCCCCTGCCCTGTATCCAGGTGTGTCTCTTCTCCTTTCTCTGTCTGTTCTGTCCTGTGTCATCCAGTCCCATGGCTTTACATACCATCTTATGTAATGATGACTCCAGAATCTATCTCCAGCCCTGACCTTTTCCTGAACTCAGATTCATATATCCACTTGCCTATTTGGAGACTTCTACTTGGAGTTCTTACAGACATCTTGGATGTAACTTGTCCAAACTGAGCTTTTCTTCCCTCAAACTCTATTTGTTCAGGCCAAAAACTTTTGACTCCTTGTTTTCTTTTTTATCTTCCACTTCCAGTCTTTTGTAAATTTTATGAAAACATTGCTCAGATCTGACTACTTCTCACCATCCTCCCTGCCGATCCTAGCCACAGTCTTCTCCAGACTATTTCTATAGCCTCCTAAAAACTTGGCATTAAATAGTGCTTTAAAATAAGCTTAGAATATTTAGATATTCATTTGTTCATCTCTTCCATTTTCCACCCTCCCATAAACAAGTCTTCCTTTCTCCTTGTCTCCCCCTTTTGATAAACTTTTTTAAAAATGTTGAAGTAATTTTAGATTTACAGAAAAGTTGTAAGATAATTCAGAGAATTCCTGTATACCCCTTCCCCAGTTTCTGCTAATGTTAACATCTTATATAACCTTAATACATTTGTCAAAACTATGAAATTAGCATTGGTATATTACTATCAATTAAACTGCAAACTCCACTAATGTTCTTTTTCTGATCCAGTCTAAGAATCTACATTGCATTTAGTCGTCATGTCTCCTTAGTCTCCTCTGATCTGGGACAGCTTCTCAGTTTTTCCTTGTTTTTCACAGCCTTGACAGTTTTAAAGAGTACTGGTCAAATGTTTTTAGGCTGTCCCTCCATTTGGGTTTGCCATATGTTCTTTCATGATTAGACTGCAGTTACGTGTTTTTAGGGAGAATCCCACAGGGTGGAGTGTCCTTCTCATCACACTACATCAGGGGGTTACCGGATGTCTGCGTAACTTACCACAGGTGATGCTAACCTTGATGCTAACAGGTTATCATGGTATTTGCAGGTTTCTCTACTACAATGTTGCTATTGTTCCTTTTCCTTACTCTGTTCTGTGGAAGTGAGTCACAAAGCCCCAGCGACTCTAAAGGGGAGGAGAGTTTAGCTCTATCACTTGAAGGCCAGGATATCTACATATATTATTCGGTCTTCTGTAAATATCCTCTTTTAAATCATACATTTACCTATCAGTTAAAAAGAATAGTTCAGAGATTCTCCAAACATATATGGCATATGTAGCCTAATTGTTTTATTTGTATGTTTATAGCTATTAGATACTTATTAAATACTGTAAATATTTTTTAAATTACCACTGTGAAATTGCTTGTACACATAAAGCACCACCATTTTCTCTCCTGTCTTCATGAATGAACAGTTCCTTTCTCGGAAGCAAAGGGCTGGGGAAAGGGGCAGAATCATTTGTTTTGGTTTTCCTGTCTCCTTGGTTGCTCCATGAGTTCTCCTGGATTGGAGGAACCAGGATGGGAGACTGGTATCCTCAGTCTTATCAAGGGGATCTCAAAAAAAAAAAATAACAGGGTTCTCAGACAAGATAAGTTTTACTTCACCTTTATTTTTGATGCAAATATTTGCGAGTTAACACTTTCAGAAAAGGGGGCAAAGGATATAATGTCAAGCAAATAATGATAAGCAGCAACTCCAAAAATATTAAGTCACTCAGTAATCAGTATCAATGAAAATAATCTTAAATATTTTAAATCTTCTTAAATAGTCTTAAGAATTTCTTTAATCTGGTGCTAATCATTACCATATCGTTTAGTGCAGACATGGATGCTTTTTTCTCCCTTTCCCTTTTTCTTGCCGCCTCCAATTCTTACCTGACACTAAATTTTTAACACATGTTCTCCGTATACCAAGCACAGCTTCGGTTTATGACTCAGCCCAATACCACATGTCTTATCTAATTATCTAAGTATGTGTTAGTGACCTTATCCTGACATTAAGAAAATAAAATGAGGACACATACACAAAGTACCGCAGGGCCTTTGGCAGTAAAATGCCTTGATGCTGTTCATTTACGTCTGACCGGTGCAGATTTATCAGCGTGGGGTCCCCATACATTAGGGCAGCGGCTACTCCCTGCTCCGTCTGCAATTGCTCAGCCCTCCTGGTATTTGCAGACTTTTGCAGCTACTGTTCACAAGGTCTTGGCCACGGCACATTCATTTCTCTCACTTTATTACCATCACATCTGATTCCAATTTGCTACCAAATTGAGTTTCCAGTCCTGAGCCTGACATTCAAGCCGTCAGGTGGATTAGCTCCTTCAGCTTGGTTAGCGTGGTAGCTGCAGGTCAGCTGACAGTGGCCTATTAAATGTCCTCTGCTCCTCATCTTGGAATCTCGGCCGCCGTCCCGCGGAGCAGCAGTGCTGGGTTACCCACCGTAACCTTTCTCCTTGTTTAGAACTCATAATTCTAGACCTGCTGGAAAGACTTCTGATTAAAAACAGAGTTGGTTTTTATCCCTTATCTTGCTGTTTCAGCAGCTTTTTCTCAGAGCAAAGCAGCCAGTTTATGGTCAGGTCATTTGGTGGAATATGATTGATTGAACTATTTGGGTCATTCATTTGCCCCTTTCTCTCTTACATCTTCTGATCTATTTGCATATATACTTGAAATAACGTCTGATTTTTTGGTTATTAACGACAGCGTCTCAGGTGCCTTTCATGCTGCTGTCAGATCTATTGGACAGAGCGGGATTATTCATTTGAGCTCTAGGCCTTCTGCTGTGCAGCGGGTCTCAGTTCCTTTCTAAAAGAAATAGTCTGGTGAGCTATTACTTCTAGGGAGTTTGCTTTTTTTTCCTTTTCCTTTTTTAACCTGAATACAACACTAATTTCTAAGTGTGTGTCATAACCAAAGATACACACATAGAAAATTACTCATTGGTCTTCTATTTCTGTTTTGATTCCCAAGGAAACTTGTCTTGGTCAGAGACTTTTCTCTTGTTATTAGGGGTTTTAGTGAATGAAGGTATATTTATGTTTCAGAATCAGGGAGCCAAGTTCAGCAAACACTGTAATTTCTTGGGGCTAATCAAGGATTAAACAAAAATGGGAAAGAAAACAACAACAAAAAATAAAGCACTTCACCACTGAACCCTGCAGCCCTTGAGAAGAAAATGTTAGCTCTTGGGGGAAAGAAGACACTTAGTTCCTGGAACTGTTGGTTGATCTTGCTATTAAACAGTTACGTGATTATTTTAACTGTGGATGGAGATATGTTTGCCAGTTAATAAGTAAAGCATCCTCTGTGCAAAGCAGCAGGCCACAGAGCTTTCCTGCCCTCTGGTCTGACGTGCTCAAGGCTATGTTCTGCAAGCTGTGCTGGAGTGGACTGCACTGCTTGCAAGTGACATCTCAGGCTTCTGTCCCTGACAAACATTTATGAATCTGATAAAAAAAAGAGGGGTGAGTTTGAAGCTGATGGGAAATGCCTTTCAAAAGATAGCGCTCCAACATCTGAAAAGCAAAAAATAAATGAGAAGTATGGGAATGAATAACCAAATTTAGTCAAGTCTTCTGAATCTATAATGCACTTCATTTTGAGTTTAAATAACCAGGTAACTCATTGCTTCTTATTCTTTAGTTATTGTCATCAAGTAATCACCTTTGAGTAGCTGGTCATTGAAAACTTCATTAGTGGGTAGAAGTGTTTTTGAATTCGTTTTTGTTTATTTGGTGGTTGGCTTATTGGCTTGGTTGGTTGATTTTTTTTTTTTTTTTTTGGTTTTCCACAGCTTCTCCATGATTAGGTAGATAATGATCTTAATTCCAGATATGTGTGAGAACCCATTGTAAAACTGTGAAACACTCTGGTGATTGTTGTGGCTGTCTGTTTACCTTTTAGAGGTTCATTAACACACTTTTAAATATACTAAGTAATAAATAACATTTGTTTTGAGAAATAATACCAAATGGGTACCTTCTGCATTATCTTTTTTAAAAAATAATAAAGTACAGTCTTTGGTATTCACAGTGTTTTGCATGAATTTATTTCTGTTGAGGGCAAATAGTCAGATTTATTTGCCCTTTTCATTTCACCTTTCTTTTAATTATAATCCTGCAAAATTTCTCCTACTTTTTATATCTCTTTCCTGTTTGGGTAAGTCCTTCGCTTCCTCAGATTTTCGTTATACTCAATTATAGGGCCATGCAACCCAACTCAGTATTTTACTGTGGTTGCTTTGGGAAGATTGATGTTTTCTGTGCTCTGAAATTGAGATAAATTGTGTTTGTACCTTAAACACGGTATATGAAAGGAACAATATAAGAAGGAATCCAGCATAAAATTATGACATTAAAACCTTTCCACTATAGGAAATGCCAAATCAAGCATGATGAGCATTTCATGTTATACATTTGGTATCCTAGTAGCCTAAGGTTAATGTAGCATCTCATATGTTTTTTTTTTCTTTTGCAGAAGGAGCTGAGTCTCCCCAGAAGAGGAAGTCTGTAAGTAGTAGTATTTTGTTCCTTTATTGTTTTTTTGTATAGTTCGTAATGTGATTATTTATTCTCTGATTTCTTTGGTTTTTACTAACAATGATAATCAGCTAGATTAAGAAAAATTTTGAATTTATTTATAAAAATAAAATAATAATGATTTTATTATCATTTTCAGGGTTTGTTTCTTATGGGAATTATATACCAAACTGTGTATTCATTCCTGAGAGAATCTTAATTTAAAAAAATTCTATATGTCATCAAGCAAAAGCATTATATTTAGTCTGTAGAGAGTATAAATTGATCTGAATCAAGAATTAGTGTTCTTCTACATGTTCTGGAAATTGATGATGGTTCCTTATACTATGGATTTGATGCTGAGTAAATATACTTTTGTATTTGAAGACTTTGAGTCAGATAAACTTTTTACTCTGAGATCTACGTCTTATTGAACTGACTTGTGTAATGCTCTTGTATTAAAATAACAGTTTTATGAAACTTGATTTCTTTATGATATGTTTCAACCTTTTATTGTTAAGGCCAATAATATATTTGCATAAATCATAGTTTTTTTCTATTAACAAATTGCAGAATAAAACTAACTGCCCTTACTATTCTATTATATTTAAGGTAGGTTTGTTGTCAACTCATTTTGTGTAAGGACTGATCTAGAAGCATTTAGATTTGGTGTCTGATTTATGTTGAAGAAGTTAGGGGGTGGGGAAGTTCCCTTCTTAAAGTATTAGTATAATATTCAAGACAGGATTTTGCAACTCTCCTTTTGGAGGATTAGAGAAATATATGGTCTGGGAGGTGGAGGCAGGCGGATTGCTTGAGGTCAGGAGTTCGAAACCAGCCTGAGCAAGAGCGAGACCCCATCTCTACTATACATAGAAAGAAATTAATTGGCCAACTAACATATATGTAGAAAAAATTAGCCGGGCATGGTGGTGCATGCCTGTAGTCCTAGCTACTCGGGAGGCTGAGGCAGCAGGATCGCTTGAGCCCAGGATTGAGGTTGCTGTGAGCTAGGCTGACGCCACGGCACTCACTCTAGCCTGGGTAACAAAGTGAGACTCTGTCTCAAAAAAAAAAAAAAAAAGAGAGACAGAGAGAGAGACAAGAAAAAGAAAAATACATGGTGATTGTTGAAAGATAGGATTTGTCCTATTGGCTACATTTTGGAAAATTGTAGCTTTTGCCTCTAGGAACTGAAACGTCATCATCTGTGAACATTTCATTACTATCCATTTTTCATACAAGTTTAGGCTGTGAGGTAGACACTGGATCGTTATTTTTAGAGAATGTGCCTAGATAAATTGCCACTATCTTCCAGCTTCCATCTCTCTGTGCTAGAGGTAAACGGAAAATAGTTTGCTATAGCAAATGCCCTTAGAATTAAACAGTTTCCCCTCTTCTGCATCATGAGTGGGACTCTCTTGCCTAAACTTGGAAAAGTCCAACCTTTTTGATACATCATGATGAGAAATAAGAAATAAGAAAAATAGTAATAAAACTACATGAAATATCTTGATAGAAAAAAAAATCTCATTTCCCTTGTAGTTTTATTTAAGGCTTAAACACCCTAGATTTTTCTTCTATACTTTATTTGAAAACTTTAGAGCTTTAATCAACTCTTACTTTTAGCTTTTATAATATATTGCAGTTGGGCTTATTTTTTTATTTTTTATTTTTTTGGTTTGTTTCTGTGTTATCACATTAGTATGCCTCCAATAATTATCGTAAAGATCATTTTAATTACCAAATTATTAATAGAATCCTATGTCTATTTAAGGGCCATTTCTCCTTTTGCATGTAAGTGTATCTTAATTTCGGTTAATGTCAACTGATAACCATGAGTTGATGTGAAAATATGTGAGAAAGAAAGAAAATATTTTAATTTATTTACTTGAGAGAATGGAATCTCAATGAAAAAAGAATAAGGACATACATTTGTTTGGAGTTTATTCTTTGAATACATAGTACAAGAAAGTTAGAATTATGTCTGAGCCATTTAAAATCCCCCCCCAATAAAAATCAATTGATCACTAAGATGATAGGAATAAAACATTGCATATCAACATAAATCTACCTTTTTTAGTGAATTCTGGGAATATTAATACTTCCAAGTGAAGCAAACCAAAAATAAACATGCTATTTTGTATTTTCTATTAAATACAAATATTCCCCAAAGAATTAACGATGCCTGATATAGCTGTTCTGGAACCCAATGCTACTCAACATTTTCAGTGAACACCATTAAGATGCCAGTAATTTCTCATGCAAGGTTTTTTTTTATGACTTTGAGATTAAGAAAGACTTTTTAAAATAAATGCTAGAGTGATTTTAATACAAATCTAATGAAGAAAGCCACAAGTGTATCTTTTTCAAGTGTCGGTGTTAGCCAACATAATAGTACCTGATTATTAAACCTGCTAACACTTTCTCAGTTTATTTACTGCATAAGTACCTCCTCCACACATGCTTTCACAACTTTTTATACCTTCTCCCAAAGAGATTAGGGATTTGGTCCTGCTCTTCTGCTGAGTTTCCTGTGTTAATAGAGAGCCACTGCACACAGTGTGATGCCTTTCTCACTGTCCTTGGTTAGACAGCCATGGGACTGAACTTGTCAGAGGGTGTGTGCCTTCCTGAAAAGGCACCTTATTTTGATGTAGCTGCTGCTTCTAATTTGTATGTCTTGAAGGCTCATGTTTTAAAATTGCATTTTCATCATTCTGAAACTTATGAGTTTTTCAGATTTTTTAAAAAATTCAAGTATTGTTTTAAATAAGCTGAAAGATACTTTTTAGTGTCCAGAATCACATGAGAAAAATATATATTTAAATTAAAGCTTCCACAAAAGACCACAGGAAATGTTTTTTGTTATTAACTGTAAGTATGAAAAGCAAACTTTATTTTATCTAGACAAAATAATTCGTATCTCCACTAATTTATAATTTACAGTCATGTTAACAAGAACTAACTTGAAGACTCTCTTATTTTGTATACATTTTTAAAAGTTGCAAAGGCAATGATTGTGACCCTTTTTTATGATGCAAAGGGTAATAGACAAGAGAAGTCAAAGGAACTGCTTTCCAGGCAAGATGTTACTAGATAATAACCAAGTGACTCCAAAACAATTTTCCAGAGGCTTTCCAGCCCTTCAAGGCCCCAGATCTTGTTTCTATTCCAGTTCCTTATATAGCTGGATTTTAGCTACTTCTCTTCTTTGTCCATTCAAAGAGTAGCCATTCGCCAAGGCTTCTGATCTCAGGTCCTTCCAGCACTTTCCCTCTCAATCTCCTTGGGACTAAATTTGTCTGACACTCCCATCCCCTTCCTCTCAGCTGCCTGTCAAAATCATGCTATAATGTCATGGTGAAATACTATACAGCAGGCAAAATGACTGGGCTCTAGAGTGTATGTATCAACAGGTATAATTATCAAACCCATAATGATGGGCAAAAGCTAAAAGACAATTCCAAGTATAAGATAGTGTTTACACTAAAAATTAAAAAAAACAAGCAAAACAATATATTACATTGTTTCTGAATGTGAACATTTACAGTAAATATATAAAAACATGCATGAGAAGCAAGTTTATGATAAAGGTTGCTTATGGGGGAGGCACTAAAAGAAATGGGAATTGAGAGGACTCTACCAGGAGTTTCATGTATATCAGTAATGTGATAGTATGTACATGAGTGTTTATATTACACTCATTACATTTTGGTATTCTTGAAATAATTTTATTTGAAATACTCAGATTGTTTGAAAGTAGAAGTCAAGCTGTTTTAACCAAGTATTTGTGTCGATTTTTAAGCAATTTGAAGAAAAAATTATATATATAATTTATTTTGAGTAAGAGAGTACAGTATACCTGTGTTTTGTTTTTGTGTTTTTGGTTTCTTTTGTCTCATGATGAAGATTGGTCCAAATGTGTGTGATTTTATAATAACTGAAATACGTACAGTGGCAGATACCCATTGATTAATGCCAAAACAACATAGAAAAAATGATGATAAATTTTGATATTCTTGAAATGCCTTAGTATATACTACCCAGGGGCAAATGAGATAATAGCATGTGTGAATGGTACATTGTAACATTCAGCTTCTGGACTAGGTTTGTTGCTTATGGTTTTGGAGAGATGTGGGATTCACTGTTCTTCATGTTCAACCAGGTGCCCAGTACAATAACTTCATAGCGTAGGTCAGGGGTCCTCAAACTTTTTAAACAGGGGGTGAGTTCACTGTCCCTCAGACCATTGGAGGGCCATTGGAGAGTGTGGCACACATTCCACACATGCGCACTGTGGGCCCAGGACGAGTTGGCTGCTAAGCAGGACGGACAGCAGCGGCAAAAACACCTCGCGGGCCGGATAAATGTCATCCGAGGGCCACATGTGGCCTTCGGGCCATGCCTGGTGTAGATGTTTGTGGAATGTGTACAAGTCTGTTTCCTTCTCCTAGATGGTGAACCTCTGAGCTGTAGATACGCCCTGCTTGTTCTCGCTAGTTCATGAGGACAGCGGTGGTTCCATGGGTGATGCCAGATCCTTCATGGTTTAAATTCAGTGTAGCATACAGAGATTCACTTGATATGATTTTGATTTTTCTAACTAATCTGCACTGTGTTTATAAAAACGCCATTAGTGTTGAGGGTCTCTTATCTAGGCTTCTCCCATATTTAAGAACTTAAGTCCTGAAATGATATTTCTAAATAGAAAAACTCTCTGGGAGATGTTTGTTTTCAGGCAAAGAAAGTGGAAGTGGAAAACTGTAAGATACAAGCTTATGAATGGTTAGGGGCAAAACCAAGGTGTCCCTGGAAGCTACCCTTTATTTTTAGAGGACCCCTTTGTGTTATGTTAATTGCCCAAATAAACAGCTCTCCAGGACTGAGAGGCCTAGGGTGCCTTGGTAGTGTTTATACCCCGGAGAGAGGAGCAGGAAATTGGCTGGGGCCATCTCTCTTGCCTCTTCACATCCTGCTTTTTAATGGTC